CCTCCCGCTTTTTTAAAGCCCACCCGCCTGCATGCGCTGCCGCCCGCCTAGAGACCCATGGTCTTTCCCTTTTAACGTTACCATGTCAGCTGGTACTTAGGGGGCCGCCGACTTAAGAGTCAAGTTATAAGTTTCAAAGCAAAGGTTTTAAGTTGCATAACGTATGTCTTCAGGTGGAGAATTTCTTGGCTGTTTATAGCGGACATAGGACCAGACTTGGGAGACTTTATATGAAGTTGTATAATAAGTAGGTTTAGTACATTGAGACAATCAGCCTGTTTGGACATAGCGGACTTAGCACGACTTAGCGGACCCACAGATTTTTAAACCCTTTTGATAGAACTTTGTACCAAACACATGGAAAAAGGAAGAATACAGGAAGCAGGACCTGCCACTTACTGGCCGACTGTCAGTTTGCGTTGGACGCTTGCTCCTGCGTACCGCGTGGAGAGCGCGCTTGGCCTACTGGGGCCTCTGTAGGACAGCCTATAGAGAAGAGCAGCGGAGTCAAGCACAGCCCGTGAGGAGAGAAAAGTAATGAACAGTGAGTGTCTCGTAAATGTCTCGTGGGTCGGACAGGGGTATAGTCTCCGCGATGTCTCGTGGTGCCTCGCAATATAGCAGTAAAGGTGGGACGTCCCTAAACATAGCACGGTGAGATGTCTCACGATGTCTCGTAAGTGTCTCGTGGACTCACGCACAACGTCGAGATTCGGTGGTATTCATTTTTGAGGGCATGCAGCCGGGCTCAAGAGAACAAGTGCGTCTATAGACATATAGCCAGGTGTCCCATTTCAGTAAACTGCGTGGCGGAGAGACGTGATGGACGAGTATATATAGATTGCATATTTGATTGTATGTTGACCGCTCTGATACACTTTGCACCATCGAAAACAAGAAAAAACATAAGTGACAATTTTTAATAAAACAAGGCGGTGGGAATCATGATGCGTTACACGGCTTACCGGCGCGACATGGACTTAGGTCTAAGCGGACTTATAAGTCACTTATAGATAAGTTTCATAAGTCAAGTTACAAGTCGGCGGCCCCCTAAGTAGCGCCCTCCGTGTCGTCACAGAATCCAAGTCGGCTGGCTTCGCTCGCGTCATCTTTGGCCTGAAGGTTCATCGTGTTGTCTTCAAAACATGCGCCGCCTTCAAGCAAAGTCTCCGTCTCTAGTTGGAAAGAGCCAAAGCTGCAAGTCTATACCGAGATCTTCGTATGAAGCACTTTTCCAAAAAGGTTGCCTTTTACTGTATGGCGGCGTAAATTGTACGGCTGCGGCGTGATTTTGCGGCGGCGTTTTTCGTGGTTGGCTCGAAGTTGTATAGTTGGGTGATTTGCGCCCTTCGTTGGGTATAGTTGTGTCAAACCCCGAAAGTTGATGAACGCACCCCAATATGTGAACTTCTTGTCAACATACCTACCGGTAACCTTTGGGAAGATGCGGAATTGGTGCAGTGCGTGACATTTGCGAAGTTTGCCGGAAAAACTGGTGGTCCGCGTAATGGTGGCGTAAATTCCCGTAATCATTTTGGCAACGTTCGTCAACCATGGACCACTGAGATTGCTTGGCTTATCAGGGTGTAGCATACACATGAGCACAAAAACTCTTGTTAGGGGGTGGTCAATTGTCAGAGCTTGCACAATGACCTTGGAGAATGACCCTGGGTACCAGAAGTTGAGTATAGTTGAATAAATTTGGCAATGGGAATCGTAGAGCGGTCAGGGATTTGGGATTGCGATGACGTTATTGTGGAGGTGTTTGGTTTCTACCTGGTGTTACTTGGGCAATCTAACTGAGTATCCTTGAGCCTGGCGTGGAGGAGACATGCACCATCCTTCCCCATGTATGGAATACGGCGTTTTGTTTTTCTGGCGGCGTCTTTTTTGGATGACGGCAATTGTCCACTCTGGTGGCAAAAATTTTGGCCACAATGGAAAGCGGCACGTTTTTCGTCAACCAGGTGGATAAACAACCAACAAGAACATGAACCGCGCAAGCAACAAACCAACCGCCCGCGCCTGCCACGAAATCAGATTTGAAGGTGAACCCTCTGCGGCAAAACCTTTTAACCAACCAACCAACAACAACGACAACAACCGCAACCGCCAGACCAAACAACCAACAAGAACATGAACCAAGCAAGCAACAAACAAACCAACATGCTGAGATAGTCCGCACTGCGCAATCTCTTTGTTTTTTCTTTGCAGCGAACACTTGTTTTTCTAACCAACCAACCAACCAAGCAAGCAAGCAAGCAAGCAAGCAACCAACGACCAAACCGGGAACAGAAAACACCCAACCCAAATCCACCTACAAGGCAAGGAAAAACTGTGCGTGCGGGAAGGGAAAACGCCCACCGGGAACGGAGAGAAACCGAGAACAGAAAACACCGACCAAACCGGGAACAGGAAACACCCACCCAAAGCGGGAACAGAAAACACCCAACCCAAATCCGTGTGGGAAGGGAAAACACCGACCAAACCGAGAACAGAAAACACCCAACCCAAATCCACCTATAAGGGAAGGGAAAAACTGTGCGTCCGGGAGGGGAAAACACCATGGGAAGGGAAAGCACCAAACCGGGAACAGAAAACAACGGAGAGAAACTGAGAAAAGAAAACACCGACCAAGCCGGGAACAGGAAACACCCAACCAAAGCGGGAATAGAAAACACCCAACCCAAATCCGTGTGGGAAGGGAAAACACCGACCGAACTGGGAACAGAAAACGCCAAACCCAAATCCACCTATAAGGGAAGGGAAAAACTGTGCGCGCGGGAAGGGAAAACACCATGGGAAGGGAAAGCACCAAACCGGGAACACGAAACACCCAACCCGTAATGAAGTTGATATTGCAGCCACTGGAGCGCGTAACATGCAGTGATTGGCTAACATCGGGCAAAGCATACGTTTAGGCGATGAAGTTGACATCGGAGCCACGCTGATAGGAGGTAGAAACAGAAAATATAATACACAAGTTTGGGGGGATTGACATTTTTCGTCGTGGTTTAGGTTCGCTTTGGAGGTGAAAAAGGGCACCCCGAAGGAAGTGAGGGGTGGTAGCTTCCTGTGCGGTGCCACTCAGTGAGCAAAGATGGTTATGGAGTTATGGGGGGTTGAGGGGCGAGGTTATCGGCAGGCCTTCGGGAGGAAATATATATATATGTATATAGGTAGAGTTGAGAAAGAATAGCTGGCAGTGGTGAAGTTGCTATTGCAGCCCCTTGAGCGTGCAGGATGCAGTGATTGGTGAACATTGGGCAAAGCGTATTTTCATGTAGCGAAGTTGATATTGCAGCCACTTGCATAGGAGTAGAAAGAGGAAGTAGAATAGACACAGGTTTGGGGGGGGGTGCCCTTTTTCGTGTTGGTGGAGGGCCGTTTCGGAGGTTAAAAAAGGGCACCCCGAAGGAAGTGAGAAGCGGTTGCCTGCTGCGTGGCGCCAATCAGTGAGCTAAGATGGTTATGCGGGGAGCCCGTGGGCGAGGCTAGCGGCAGGCTTCCGGCAACCCTAGCAATTCAACGCTTGCCCACTGCAGTCTGTTCTCTCGCATGCCCCCAACAGATGGCATCATGCACCCCATATGGGGTGCCCTTTTGAGTCTGACAACTAGACCTTTCCACAGATAAAAAGGGCACCCCTTAGCACCTTCCACCGCCAATGGGGTGCCCTGTCCAGTCCGGCAACTCAACCTTTCCAAGGGCATCCCCGAGCAACTCAAGACCTTCCGCCTCCAACGCTTGCATATTGCCATCTCTTCTCTCCATTCCTGCCATCAACAAATGCATCATGCACCCCATGTGGAGTGCCGCTTTGAGTCCGGCAAACCGCGCAATTCAACGCTTACCCGCTGCAATCTGTTCTCTGTCCTGCCCTCAACAACCCCCCGAGCAACTCAAAAACCTTCTGGCACCGCTGTGCCTGCCGCATCCACCGCATGCCCCCTTCAGTCTGGCAACTTAAAAAGGGCGCCCCCAAGCAACGCTAAGCTTGCTCGCAACTGCTCTTTCCTGCTCTCAAGAGTGGGGTGAGTTCCAACCACTTATCACGTCCCCTTGTCTTCCCTTTCCTCGTCGACGTGAACTCCCACCCCCAGTAAAGACAGTTTACATGGCCTCCTGGGCCCTTCGTGATGCTAATGATGCACAGCTCGCCGTCACATCACAACACCTCAAAAAACTACTTATTTTCTATTTTCACTACCTCCGGGCGACCTCTTTTTTTCGCTCTCCCCCACCAGGCTCAGGGTCAGCCTCTCCAAACGTGCCCATCTGGCAACCACCCCCCCCACACCCCGTTTACTCACTTCGTTCGCACAAGAACCTCAAGCCTTGCCTATCGGCTGGCCTTCGTGATATATATCTGTGTGTGTGTCATGAGACTGAGAAATCCAAGGATGATATCAAACGCTGCATCACTCTGGCATGCACAGCCATACCCGGACAAGGCGGTGGAGAAAGGGAAAGCGGCGTGGCTAAGCAGGGGATAAGGCTAGGACACGGCGGTGATAAAAGGGCCGACTACGCGGACAAGCAGGACAGACAGACCCGGACAAGCATAGGACATCATAGGGCAAGGTGGACAAGGCGCGACCAACAGACCTGGACAAGGACAACGCAGGGTCTACGACGTGGCCAAGCCCGACGCACAGACCCCGACAAGGCCCGGACGAGGCCACTAAACTGCTTGGGGAACAAGAGGAGGACACAGGGCTCGCCAGCGTGGCCGGAGCACAAGAAGAGGACAACAGGAGGACAACATCCACACACAGGGTTCAAGGGCCGGGCCAGGCCAAAGACTGTGGCCAGTGTCGTGTTTCGTGGGAGAGACACATTAACTGTTTGGGGAAATGTTAACTTGCGCACACGTGCTACAATATGTGTATGTTTATATGATATATATATATATATGTGTGTGTGTATATACATATATATATATAACGCTCTCGTCACTGAACTGGCTGCCCTGAGCCCAAGGTCAGCATAGATCGCTCAAAAGCGGAAATGTTGGTCTCGGGCCTCGACAGGAGAAGCTCATTCTGACCGTATCTAAGATGTAGAAGCAGTAGGTGTGTTGAAGATACAACTCTGATCTCTCCGGCCAGTCCCATCCAGCGCGCTCTTGTTCAGCTTCAAGTGTCTTCTCAAGTATCCGCTGGAGGCCTCTGAAGCACATGGAGCAAAAAAACAAACACGAGCCTTCACAAGCCCTGTCCAGGAGAGTTTTTCAAATGTCAACCATACAGACCATACATATGTCAACCGCATCATCGAGAGATCGCCATTGGCCTAGGCCCTACAGGACTTCTGCAGCACCAATTCCAATCCCAAACCAGTAGTTTTGCACCCGAATCCGTTCTATGTCGCAGTTCTCCCTGGATTTGCTTGCCACGTCCTTCCATCCTTCCATGCCCACTCAGGATCCACAAAGGAATGCCGACCAGTGGCGTTTCGCAGCCACCACCTCTTCGGGCACCTCCACGAAAACACCCGAGGCCTGCGCCCGGGCAACAATCTGCTTCATCTTCTCCTGCCGAAACAAAAGGAGCGGCGCTCCGCTGGCAGCCCTGACAAAAGCAAACGACCCAAGGAAGCGAAGGGTGAGGGAAGGGTGAGGGAAAATATATAAGGAACATGGGAAGAACCGACCCAGAAAATCACCGAGCGACGCACTGACTCGCTTGGGCTGATTTGTTCGCCACACAGTAGAGGCGTCAGAGGCGTCAGTTGGGTTTTCTCAAAAGGGCAGGTGGCCACCGTGTGTCGAAAGGACAACTGCTCGGGATCAATCCCTGAGACGACGTGAGAGGTATAGGATGATATAGGCCAGGCCATAGGTTACCAGCTTTGTGGGCCACGCATGGAGTGTGAGAATCCTTGTCACTACTTTACCCCTACCCTCTTGATGTTGATGATCTTTTGGTTTACACATGGAACATGGGAGGTTATGGAGATGCTGATCAAGTCTCCTCACAAAATCAAGCTCCCGCCGAAAGTTCCAAAGCGAGGAACGAGTCATGACCAATGCGTTTGAACGTTTGCATTTGGCTGCAATTGTTGGAGTTAAAGAAATTGCGCACAAGAATTGTGCAACATGTTGTGAAGTACCAGCCTGCACTAATGCCGCATTAGTCACCAATGCAATGACACGTGTTCGGTCCTGAAAAGGCTTGTTGCACAGATTTGAGTATGTCACATAGCCTCTGGCATAGAGCTCTTTCATCTGCGCATGCTGCACCTGCCGAAGTTGGCTGTACTCTGCAATCGAAGACCTCAGCACTACATGAAGGATCTCTCAGCAAACAAAGGACTGAACAAAAATTCCAAAAGTGGTCTCTCAACGAAAGGCGCAAAGTGCCCAAATGACTTTGGCCTCGGCCTGTTGGCATCTCTTGCTTTGCGCTTTCTGCCGCCAGGCCACACTACACAGGCCTCTTCACGTTTCATCTTTAAGGTGGGATCTTTGGGGACTCCCAGGCGTAGCAGTTGCAGGAAGCAACTCGCGCCATCCGTGATTTCAAGGGACCATAGAGGGTCATAGCGTAAGACCTGCCGCTCCTGCACACGCTTCCAGAAGGACTCCACCTGCCATTTATCGGGGATCGTCACCTGAGGTCAGGCGTCACGGTGGCACTGGCCGTCCTGAGGTAAGGCTCCTCCCTCATCATATCTTCTCCAGCTTGCAAAAGAAATTAGGCCCCAACCTGAACTGATATAACTTCTCACACATATATATATATAATTCCATATGTTGCCATAAATATAATATATGACCGAACAACCATGGCGCGCGAGGATTTCTGCCCTTCAGTCTCGACCAAGAGATTCCAAGGAACCTTGGGCGGCCCCTTTTGGGGCCCTCAACTTATATGGAACCCATCTCATCTCATAGCAATCACGCAATCTTCCAAAGACAATGCAAAAAATCACACAACAACCCCGCAGGTCACCGCCAAACCCCCCCCACCAAAAGTTCTCAAACAAGGACTATTGCAATTCGGAGATCTTCCAAGTCTTCTGGTTCCTTTACCCCCCCAAGGTTTCTGTCACAAATGAACGACATCGAGCGAAGCTCTGTACCGGGATTGTGGGCTCCACCTTCATTTCCCCACACTGTGCATGCCAACCATACGCCCCGTGCGCCCGTAGCAGACCTGGTCTTTGGGCATTTGCAGCAGTGCGTGGCAGGCTTTGTAAGACTCTCTCTTCAGGCGTTCCGGGAAGCTGTAGATCATCTCGGCGATGTCATGTTCGCACTGGCGCACGCACGGGTTGCAAGAAGAATTCCACTGTGTACGTGTACGCTGGCAAACGCGAGCACGACACGCATATATTTTTTATATACAAACACTTGAGCACACGTGTTGCGACGAAAGCAACCAACGCAATAAAAATAAAAAGATATCATCTAAGAGATCCCAAGAGATCCAAGGGGAAGGGTTCGTTCCACTATAGGGCTCGGGCTTCGGGCCATAAAAGGCCCTGTGCCTGCGCCTGGCGGTCTTCGTGGGTTTTGGCCTCTTCAACCTCTTCCTCTTCCTCTGTGGCCAAACGGGCTGCCCGCTCCACCTGGTCACAGTGTTCTTAAACATGTTGTGGCATGAAAACATGAACCGGATAGTTTTGCGGGGCTGGTTTATCTACATTTGATATTTTGGGCTGATCTGCTTCCGAAGTTGTGCTACGGAGCAACCAAACCCCGACCTTGATTTAGCCTTTCAAGCAAACCGACCAGCGGATCCGACCTGCTTCCGCAGCTGCCCGCAGTCCACGGCGAAGACGTTCAGCTGTGCCTTGACTGCTTCTGTGAGCCGAGCACGGTAGGAGGAACGGTTATCCTCCTGGCGTCGGTGCTTCAACCGCACAGCGTTAGGGCGCGCCGGCTCTTCGGATTTGGCCTCCGTTTGGACAGAGGAAAAAGTAAAACAAAACAAACAAAAAACTGGCATTGATGATTGCAGTTCCGCCGGTTATGTAATCCGAAAGAGCCCAAAACTCAAGTTCCCATGTAGTCTCCAAATCCTGTTTGCTCTTGGCCGTTTGGGTGAGGGAAAAAAGAAGAACCTCTCCAACATGCCATGTCCTGCTGCCAGACCTTCCGGATCTGCCCAAAGGTCACTTGGCTCTCTGGGCCCTTCGTGGCAGTGAGGAGGTACTTGGCCAAGATCTTCAGGTTCCCCTGACGGCAGATCCCGCTGAAATCGCAGCGTGAGCGCTGACGACAAATGCTCAGCCTCCGCTCAGCCATCACCCAGACGCTTGCTCGACGGGATTTCGCGCTACGTTATTTCTCTTCTGGGCCGGGCACATTTGGGGCCAAGTTCCGAGTGCAGTGGACAGCCCTAAACCATAACAAACTGGTAGAGTGGAGGCAGTGCAGTACGGGATGCCGACTTCAACAAATCTCGCCAAACTCACAAACCTCACCGGCCATTCATCTTGCGATCAAAATGCATTTAACAGGTACAGGTAGATATCAATGCGGGTGCACATGTTTGTTATATTATAGTGTTATAGATTTATGTGTATATACATATGTGATATATGTATATAGTATTGTATTATATAACATTTCAACATATACATCCAGCAACAGCACGCACTACATACAGAGCGACAACAAGTAGAGGTTTGCGTTTTCTCGTTTGTGTGTTATTAAAGCTTCTTCAGGTTCACTCATCGAACATAGATTCGTGAACTTTTGGGATCGAGGGAAAGTTCGCTCGTTTTGTCAGTTGCTCGTGCCACTGCCGTCGTGGAGCCATTGGATCCTATCTCCTTTTGCTTGAGAACTCCGCCTACCGCGCATGGCAGCGGAGCCTGCGGGCTCCGCCGCCTGATCGATCCAGGGCATTTGCTTTGTCTGCAACCGCACATGGCCGCTGCAGAACCATGGTGGGCCAGGGTGTGTTGCAAGTGGAGAGAACAAAAGAAGGTGTTCCTATTTGGGATGGCAATGCTCCTACCTTCCAAGGGTATTCAGAGCTGGCACAGCACTGGGCGCAGAGCGTGGCACACCACAAGAGATATCTATGTTCAATCACACCTGACAGGCACTGCCCGCCGTTTTGTGGTGTCTATGAAGCCCGCCTTGGTTTCCTATGCAGGAGGAGTTCAGAGACTTTTGGATCGCTTGAGGGGGCACTTGACTGAGATGTCGGAGTACTTGGGGAAGTACTTCAAGCAATCCCGCTGCAAGAGACATGAATCTATGAATGGTTACATCACAAGGAAGGGTGTGATCTATGCTAGAGTTGCTAGAGCGTGCCAAACGCTTCACGGGGCGTCGCACCGCTATGCTCGTGAGGTTGGCCCAAAGACCGGAGGCCTCGCAGTCTACCTGGAGTGGATAGCAGCAGCAACAAGCGGGCCATCCGACTATGCTACGGGCATGCCTATTCCAAAACGTTTTGCCTGCATATTGGGCTCAAACCCAGAAACCCGAGATCTCTGAACTTCAGAGCCGACCTCCGATTCCTCACAGGGTCTTGATCGAGAGGGGGTACATCAAAACCAAGGCAGCCCAATCCGGAGCATCATCCAGCAACATGGCGGGGGTGACCTCTACGCTCCTGAAAGACCTGACGGGTGCAGTGATCGAGCTGAAGGAGCAAGTCCAGAGCCTGAAGACAGGCCAAGAGCTTCCGAGCGACCAGAGAGTCGAGATGATCCTGAAGGGTCAGTGAGAGTAGCGACCATAGGCGCTAGCTTTGAAACGCGCACCGCCCAAATGCCTCCAGAGGCTCAAGGCGGAGACCTTGGCTCACGGTTCAAGACCTTAGAACCTCATGAAACGAAGCAATTGAAAAACAAACGTGATGACATGTTTTCACATGTTGTTCGTGAATTGGGAGCCCATGAGCAAGTCTTATTACTGGAAGTTGCATGCGGTGTGGATAGCATCCTCACAAGTACCGTGAGAGAGCTCACCAAATCTGCCAACTCTGCCCAGCGGTTGTCTAATTGGAACGACTATGATATATCTTCTGGTAGAGGCGTAAAAGGCGCACTTGATAAGACAGACCCTTTGCAATCCCGAAATCGTGTGGCACTCCCCGGAATGTGGTCCGTACAGCGCGATGCAAAACATCAACCAACGTACGGCTGAGCAACGCTCTGACTTGGAAAACAAGCGAAAGCAAGCTTTGAAACTGTGGGACATGTGGTTTTCGATGTGCAGTCACCATGAAAGGTGTCAACCGGTCAAATGACCACTCGCGTTTTGGCTCAAGAGATGGTGCGTGACTGACGCACGGGGCTTTTGTTTTGTCGCTCACAGGTTATGAGCCCAACTCTTTGTTAAGACCACCCTCAGGAGAGGTTGCTGGCTCCCATGGCGTCGAATCCTGCGCTGGCGCGGCGGCGAAGGCAAGCGAAGGCGGAGCCAAAGGGTGCGGCAGGGCTCAATTGGAGGTGGGAGAAGCAGATCGAAGACTTGATGCATTGATTGAGGAAGAGCAGAGAGCGAGGTCCCTGGACCCTGGTCCGCGAAGATCATCGTCCACCCCGCCCTTGGAAGGTCCGAGAGGAGATCCAGTCTCGTTGCGCCCACCGCGTCCTTTGGAAGATGATCGGGATGCGGGGAATCAGGAAGAAAGGGCTTTGAGATCGGTGAAACCTTCGGTGCCTCAACATCCTCCTCAAGGTGCAAGTGATGATGCTGGAGGTCATGGAGGTATGGCTGCTCTGCGTGATGCAATGCAGCGCACCTATCAGGCCTTGTAGCAGGCTTTGACAGGCCCTCTTCAAGGGCATGGTCAACCATCTCAAGTACCAGTTCAAGGTCAAGGTCTACTTGGTCCTCTATCTCTTGGCGCCGGACCTGGACCGCCTGGAGGTTTTCTGGGTGTGCCTTGGACCAATGAAGGAATGGCTGATGCAAGAAGTTCGATGGTGCCGCGCGCACTGGATTACACCGGTGGGACTACGACTACACCGGACCGGCAACAACAAGCTCCGATGAATCCTTTTTGGAGTCCTGCGGGGCAAGATGGTGTGAAACCACTGGCAAATGGAGCCAGCTCTTTGTCAGTACCTGCGGATGACAAGCGGGTGAAGCAATGAGCGCTGGTTGTCAGGGTGAAGCACAGCGTCTGTCGGGGGCTGCAGGACCTCCGTTGGGAGAAAGGGGAACACTGTCTCCAGCAGTGGATGAAGTTGAGGCGCTGCGGATGCGCATCCTCAAGATAAGGAGCTCAAAAGGTTGTCAACCAGGAGGGAACCGGGGGACACCAACTCGTATAAGACGGTTTCCAGTGGCACACAAGGACCGCTGGATGGGGAACTTCCTCTACATGGTCTTCCTCAACGGCCCCCTGGACTATCTCATCATGTCCGTGGGTATAGGGACGAAGAGAATGGAGGAAATCTGGCCTCTCCCATCAAGATTGGGGAAAGTGTTTCGGTGGCATCGACAACTGAGGCACTGAGGAACCTTGAACTGCCTACGTTGCCTGCGCCCAATGTTGAGGGAGCTTCGATATTGTTTGGAGATTGGTTGACGATGGCCTTTCCTCTTATGTCGGACATCTCCAACTCGGCGAAGGCTTGGTGGGAGGAGTCCTTGGGAGCTGCACAGGAGCACTATACTCACTGGCTCACACTTACACCCCTGGAGAGAATCAGGAAACGACCTGGTGGCGCCGGCATTCCAGAGGATTGAGCAGCGTGGAATCGCTATGTTGCTTGGAGCACTGCCTGACAGCATTCGGAGGGATTTGATCTCAGGCCGGCAGCTGTCAGTGGTCCACATCCTCTATAGGTTGCACATCGCCTACCAGCCAGGAGGTGGAGCAGAGAAGACACAGTTGCTGAAGAGTTTGGTTGAGGCAAAGTTCACAGCGAGCATCACAGACCTTCTCACTCAGGTGAGATTGTGGAGGAGGTGGCTGGGGCGTGCTGAGGAGCTGGGATTGTCGCTGCCGGATCCGATAGTGTTGATGGTGGCGGTTCAGCGGATGATAGATGCAGCTACGAAGATTGGTGGGCCGCAGCCGTCGTTCAGGCTGGCCAATGCAAGACAGGAGCTGAAGGTTGACCATGCGGCAACGAGTATGTCCAGGCTGAGATTGAGGACATGTCGCTGACCATGGTCGCGAAGCCTACTGGAGCAGCCCAGGTGTCTGTACCTACCCCACAACCGACCTCTTCGTCCTTGAAGGCGATGGCGGCAACCTATGCGGGAAGGGAGAATGATGACCGAGCTGGAACGAAGCCGGCGTGCAAGTTTTGGAAGAGTGAGGATGGATGCAGAAGAGGAGCTACATGTACCTATGCTCACGACACATCGGAAATGAAGGGCCGATGCTTTGGATGTGGAGGTCATCACTTGAAGAAGGATTGTCCTCATAGTCAGAAGTCGGAGAAGGGAGACGTGAAGAAGGTCTCAAAGGTCAAGGCGGCCAAGGAGCATGAGAAGCCTGAACAGGGGGAGAAGGGTGTGAAGGACACTACGGGAGGTGAAGAGTCTGCCAAGGAACTGGGGTCACCACCTATCACGTCTGCGTCTTCATATCGAGAGTCTCCTCCTCGCCAGTCAGGAACAGAAGCTGCGGCCGAGCTGTTGACTGAGGCAACGTCGCTCTTGAAGACCTTGCGGAGCATGAAGGCGCTGCGTATGAAGGAGCTCAAGCCGAAGCTGGACACTCGAGGTGGGGCAGTGGGATTGTTGGATGGCGGTGCAACGAATGGATTGCGTGAAGCACTACCTCATGAAATTCCCCGCTTGGAACCTGTCCGAGTGGAACTGGCATCGGGTTCGACTACACTATACAAAGTCAGTGAACATCGGACTTTGCTGTCCAAGGAACCGGTGGAGGTCATAGTCCCTTTGCACGGCTGAACTGGTTGTCGGCAGGAGTCAGTATCACACACCCTGAGTATGGGAAGATTGAGTGCACATTGAGGGGAGGCTGCCCTGTGCTACCTGAAGGAGAAGCTCTCAACCTGCATGATGGATGGTGATATTCGAGCCTGGTGGGCATCGAAGTTCCCAGAGGTCCCGCAGGAGACCTGGGAGTATATGCGTGGGCAGATGGCCTATGACCCATGTCTGTGTCCTTGGAATAGACATCAACGGAGGAGGCATCAGCGGTCAAAGGGGATCATTCTGAACCTGTACAGCGGCAAGGACACAGGCAGTTGGTCTTCCAGGAACTGGCTGGGCTATGAGATCATCAA